GCATGAGAGGCACACCGGACGCACAGGAGGTCTTGTCAACCAACATAGGACTGGCATTATTAACCGCGCGACGCTGATGAATATGTTGAGGGGGGGGGGAATCTGAGCACCTAGGGATGTGTCCGGAGGGCTGTAAAGATAAACCAACTCATAACTCATATATATATATATATATATATATTGGTTTATCTTTACAGCCCTCCGGACACATCCCTAGGTGCTCAGACACAGACACACACACATATCAAACATGTCTGCAGGCCCATGTGTGAATGCATGCATAGGCGATTGCATACACACACATGGATATATATACACACATGCACACACTAGCAATAGGGAATCCATGTACACGTAAACTCAAGGCAGACGCCGTCGTGCAGCGGCCAGACGCTCGCTTGTGGATCAGAAGGCCATGAGTTCAGATCCTGACGTAGTCAGTCACTTGTCTGAGTCTTTTGCTTTGTATACGTTACACCTTCTCAATATCCTTACTGTAAGGGGATAATTAGCCAGTCTTAACTAGTTTCGGTTGTTTCATACAATTGTATTTCTTCTCCTTTTTAATTCTCCTTTCTCATGTGCTTTTTCTCGCCTCACTCTTATCATATCTTTATCTTTATGGAGACAGATAATTTTAAGTGTCCTGCAAATGCATTTCTTTATTTGTTTCTGTTTTTTTTTTTGCTGTCAACATGTAAGCATTCCTTTGATGTTAATGAAATTTTTAGTTTTTGAAGAAAGTCTTCCAGGGGCTTTCTTTCCGGCTTATATAGGGTACACATTTAAAGGAAGTGGTCTGTTGTGTTTTCCTGAAAAAAGTCTAAGCATAACTGTAAATTTGGCATTCCAGTATCCAATTCCTAATCTCCATAATTGTTTTTTTTGCTGAACTTTTTCGGTTGCCTGTGACTCTATGGTGTTAGGATGAGTTCTCTCAAATATAAACACGCTTTTCTGCCAGTAGCACTCGTTTCAAACTGTCACTTCCACATTCCTGTAATATACCGTTTGATTTGACTCTTCTCATCGGATTTTGTTAGGCCTGTTTCAATTATATTATGGCTGCTGGTGCCTCTTTTTGCAAAAAATATACACCTTTTCATTACCAACTATGCCTTTATGCGCTGCAACCCAAGCTATAGTGATTTGGCGTCCGTTGTTCCTAAGTTGCGAGGTTAGTGCTAGTATCTCTTCTTTTATGTCTGATCTACTTCCCTGTGTAATTTTCTAGTGATTGTTCCATTGAAAGAAAATATGTCATTACTGTTAGTTTAAAGGGGGAATTTTCTGCCTCGATCTTGAAGGCTTTCATTATGCCGACTAGTTCGGATGTGATAACTAACGTATGATCTATGATTTTATCATGATTTTGTTTTTTCCAAGCTTCTACTTTTTAATTTTTGGATCCATCCGTGTATATTATCAGGTTATCAGTTTCAGTGTTTCTAATGTGCTCCTCTTCTATGGTCCTTACTTGTAGTGGATCAGTGTTTTGTGAAATCTGTTTTGGTAGGCTTATGTCTACATATGGTGGTTTCAATTTCCATGTTGGCATCTGAGGGTTCAATCTCTTACTTAATTCAAGTGTTCTTGCCAGTCCTTATTAGTATTCATTTCTACTGCAGCATACTATGCTGCTGGCCTAAGAACGTTTCTTATTGGTACTCCCTTGAAATTTTTTTGTATTAGTGTTAAAAGCCTCACATGCCAGAGGATCATGACTGTGCAGTCTGAAGCCGGTAAATGTATATTAATTGCTTCGTTCTCAGATTTAATAGTGCTTTTCCTAGCGCTACTTCCTACATCCAGGCTTTTAATTTTGTAACGTAAAATGTTACTTTTGTGGTAAATGAGATTTGATGCTACTCGCAATATAACTCACCGAGAACCGTTTGATGACAAAAATGTGTTAATCACAAATCCGTCCTTAACCAATATCTCATAGTCCTTTAAATAAAAAAATAAAAATATGGTTTATACACACACATCGTCTTAGTGTAACAGTTTAAAAAATGTGATTAAATATTCTTTAAAAGAACATTTATTTCAAACGCCATTAAATGACCTAACCTTCCGTATTCCTGGGCCATAATGAAGGAATATGGCAAACAAACCAATGGCGTTCAGTAGCAAGATGAGTACAGCAAGCTCTCTATGAACCTGCAAAGAAAAGAAGAGAAAGAGATTACAATTTTATTTCTTCACAATTTCGTAGGACAACAAAGTTACGGAAAAATGAACAGTCAGGACCGCATGTGAAATGTTTCACAGTTCTAGCTGCGTAAATGAAATATTCATTCTTTACTGAATACTGCTAGATTATTAATGGACAAGACTTGCAGTTAGACAGGGATTATGTTGGCAGTTTTACAATAATATGAGACCTAAATATGTTCGTTTCAAGAGGATAATTTAACACTGAAGCATACTATTTTTTCATTTTACGTATATTTCTTGGACAAACGAAAACACTGTGAGAACATCTTTGGGAACATGTGACCTCATCAAACTAAGTCTATGAAAGAAAAAATACTTTAATAAGCCAAAATCAATACATTTCATTGCCTACTTCTAAGCAGCTTTAAGTGAATCGAAAAAAAAAAAAAAAAATTAAAAACAAGAGAAGAAATTGATGATGTGTTTAGAATAAAGTGAATCATAATATCCAAAAATGTTTTTTTTTTTTTTGACGTCTATCACATATTACAGGAGTCTTTATTCTTCAGATGTGAAAAATATCTGATCTAACAATATTGACTCCAAACCTCAATTTCATCGTTTTTTTTTTAAAGTTGTTGCTCTAGATAATATTATCAATTCCCAATCTCCACCTCATCATCATCATGTGTCTTGCCGATTGGCCTAGGCGCTCATGCATCTCTACAGATCACGATCCCTGGTTGCCTTGAACTGCTATCCTGAAAATACCCTCCATGCCATTGTGTCAACCCATCGAGAATGATCTCTCTTGGTCTGCCTCTACCCCTCATCCCACTGATTTTTCCAGTTTTTGCGATGTTTGCCAATACATCTCTTCTCATTACGTGGCCAAAGAACAGTGTTCATCTCCTTCTTATTGTTGTATATAAGATCTACTTGCATTAGCTTCTTTCAAACAAACCCACCTCCCTCTCTGTATTTCACATCTTTCACTCCGCCATGCTTCGCCTCTCTTGCGTAGCAGTGTCCATTACAAACTATTTAAGAACTAACCTGAAACCAAACTTTGGTGCCGAACAACCTTCTTTTGGGTAGCCAGTCCCTGTAATGTCTAGACATGACCGTTACGATGCCAGTCAGGAAGACCCAGGCAATAATCATCACAGATGCTATTGAATACAGTGAAATATCGGTAACACGTCTTCCAAAAGACAGAATAAATCAAGTTTCTATTATAAAATCCGCACCAATTACTAGGCTCCGATCCAAATTAAAGGATAAGCATTGCAGTTACACAAAACAAGACGAAAGCTAACAAAATTAAGTGTGTCCAAGTACTCAAAACAAATGTGCAAGTAAAGTAAGCATGGAAGGAAAGGAATGTAAACTACCTTCTGCACAATTTGCCAAGAAAAACCTTAACAGTCATGGAAGAAAAATTGGGCATCATGTTTGTGATGGGGAAGTTTTCTGCAAGGTTGTTATGGAAGCAAGGTTCTGTAGAGGACAGGCTACTGACTGACTGAAGTTGAGTAACGAATAGGACGAGCGATGCTGGATTCAGAATTGTGTAGACCAATCTGCACTCACTGGATTAGGCGGTCAATATCACGCAGAAAACACATTTTTGTTCATCCAGAGATAACATGTGAAAATGAAAACAAAGACTATAGTTATCAACAGCGACCTAGAAGTACCAATCAGTTCTTCTACTGTGTTAATCCAACGATGTAACTGCACTATGCCAGTTTACAGCATGGTTGTGATATTTGCGCCTATCAGCCGACAATTCCGACTTCTGCAAACATTTGTTGACCGCGTTAAGTCAATTTAAAAAGTTATAGACGACGTGAAAAAAATGTCAACACATCGATAGTTTTTTTTCTATGTAGTTAACTTAGGATCATTAGTAATGTATGACAGCAGGTGTAAGACAGAAGACATAAAACAGGAATGCCGACGTTTGCGATAAGAATTATGAAACAAACGTCTCACATCTCCAAAATTAACTAACCCATTAGGACAGAAAATATTAAATGCCACACTCACATTTTAACTACATTATTGTATACTGCAGAAACACGAAACAATAATCGACAATAAGATAGTGGTAAACTTGACGTTGTTAAAATCGAGTTTTATAAATGAGACAATATAAACTTACCATGCAGATGGACAAGTATAGGAAATCCAGATCCTGTATACAGTCTGCGATCTTTCAGGTTGACTTTGACTGAAGTAACAGCCGGCATATCCTTGTGTATTGTCATGACATCAGATGCTGCAGCACGCAGACAAAAGCATAATATTATAGCTTATTACCTATACAACTGTATTACTAAATACTTACACAGAAAAATAGGACACATTTTTCCCACTACATGTCTTTAGTGCCCTATTCACAGGCCTTAAATGGATACCAGGTAAAGTCCTTGGAAGTAATGGTGGCCGGCGCGATGTTGATCACATCAACCACAGAGAATAATTTCACACTCACACACACACATACACACACATTTAGACTGGTCTACAACATTATATCAAAATCGTATGCCTAATGTGCTATTGGCGTGTAAAGAGACTTTCTTTGAGACTTAAGGACAATATAGACGGAGGAGTCGTGAGCATAAGAATGTATGGTCGCTTGGCTAGTGTAGTTGCCACGATCTATGAAGGTTAGGATTGTTGTTGCTTTTTGGACATTTCGTCGTGCCAGACGATAGTGTTATGTTATGGCAGTGGTGGGCAAACTCATTACCCAAAAGAGCCAGCAAATCAGCAACAGGACGATTACAATTTTGTTTTGAGAGCCAAATTTCTTTTCAAGAACCCATCAAGAAAATTGTTTTTCAGAGTCAAAATCAATTTGTGGCCGAACTGCACGTGTGGCTCGCAAGTCGCGATTTGCTGACCCCTGTATGGAAAGGCATGGGACTCACAGGCCATGGAGATGGCGAGTGTGACTAGCAAAGACCCGACCTCGCTAAGAAGTCTCCCACAATTAGAGCATTGTACGAAAGGAACGTTTTTGGCGTCGCATGTATTTAATGTGCGTCTGCTTAAAATTGTCTGATGGTCGCTTTCATTGGCTTAGGCGTTGCTAACGCGCTTCGTAATGCCGAGGTGGCGGATTCGATCCCAGCTGCTGACATGTTTTTCTGGCGCTGGTTTTGATAGCGGTATCGAGAGCTGATCGTTCAGTGTGTGGTCAACTGCTGAATATAAAATTTGCCTAGAATGACCACAACAGCCAAAAAATGCTGGGGTTGGTTCTGCAACGTTCTGTAAAGGATACGCAACTAAGTAAAAGTAAAAAGTAAAGATCCCTTTCCACGCCTTTAAGCGTATAAGGCATATGGGAAGAGCTCCCATATTTTTACAGACCATCAGCACTCTGTGGGTAATGTGGTCAGCATTACGCCGGCTGTCTTTACTTTCCTAGGACAGTCTGTCTGTCTGTCTGTCTGTCTGTCTGTCTGTCTGTCTGTCTGTCTGTCTGTCTGTCTGTCTGTCTGTCTGTCTGTCTGTCTGTCTGTCTGTCTGTCTGTCTGTCTGTCTTTGTGAGTGTCTATGGGGTTAGTCTCATGGACTCAAAAAATGTATATGAAAATTGAACATAATTAGGCGATCAATAAAACAGTTACTGTTTGAATAGCCTTGGTTTAAAAGACTCAACTTCGCGCATAAGATGTTAATGAGAGAGAAGATTCTTAGTAACAGTTATGTCAAAGAAGAAGAACTAATACTATATGTGTTTTTTTTTTTTTTGTAAAATTAAATTTTGAATGGTATTATAGAATTGGTACCATCGTACCTGAAGAATATAGTGTCAGTTCTGGTTTGCTTTTTTTGTTTAACAAGCTGTCTCTTAAAAGAATTATTTCGGTGGTACCGGTATGGCTCTTGGCACACGAAAAAGTTCTTGATATACGTCTGCAGACTAAATGACTCTGTCCCCTGATACACACATAGCAAAAACCAAATACACAGTCACAGCTGAGAGCTATGAAAACAATTTACAACCTGGCATAGCTTTTCCCCAGGCCAGCATCAAGTGCCATGCTCCATCTCTGTCATAGGTCGTGTTTGTGTAGTTTAATTGCTCCGACTGCTGGATAATATGATAGACCGAAGACTGTCGCGGTAACACAAATCTGCACTGCACTCTTCCATCTGAATGTTTAATTTCAGCCTCAGTTAGAAACCTCTGAAAAAAAAAAAAAAAAAATGTACGAATATATATATTTTTAAAAGTAATGCTTTTTATAAGTTCAGCAGTAATTTCATCAGCATCAGTTGCTTTATTGTTTTTAGTCTGTGCTACGACACACACAGACACAGCACTTCTTCAAAATCAGGCTCTTCAATATTTGGTTCACATGTTAGTTCCTCACGAGGCAGACCAAGAAGATGGTGGAGAGATAGTGTCCAGACATATGTGTGTGTGTGTGTATGTGTGTGTGTATGTGTGTGTATATGTATAGATATATAAATATCTAAACGAGTCTATTATTTTAGGATAAATTATAACTAACATGGACAAGTGAGCTTCGCTATCATTCCTTACTTGAATGTTTTACGCCACAGTATGTGATGCGATTTGTGTGTGGTTATTTTAAAGCCCCACCCCGACTGTTGTCAGGGGTACTAATGTAACCTAACGGTTCAACTGGGTTTCTGGGACTTGTGCCTGATACTCATTAGAATGGTGGTGCCTTGTATCACCAGGTGTTTATAGCTCGTTGTACGGTCTTAGTGGGTTGAACTTCATTCATCATTCCTTGCCTGCAAATTACTGCAGGCTCCACTTCTATGAAAATTAACGGGGCTTCTGAAATATGCCCTTACTGTTTTTCGATCCTTGATGAGATTCTCGAAGTCCCAGGGCTGATCAAACTATCGGACTTCAACCCAGAGGGTAAAAACAGGCGACCAAAACGAAGGCGAATATGAGGCATGTTTGTAATTTATAGCATAAGTATGGAAAAATTTAAATGGTATATTAACACTTTCTAAGAGCAGCAGAATGTATATAAATTGCTGCATAACTGAACAAAGATGTTTGTATTAATAAAGCTAAGAAGTGTTCCATAATTAACAAATGCGTCATTTATAATAAAAGCCTCACACAGACGTTGACATTAGGATGAATATTTGTGGTGAGCGGTTTGCAATGGTAAAGAAGGGGAGCTAATGATGAAATACATGTAGATTTACGATACTTGCATTAAATAACCGTTCATTATGGTAGTGAGGATTCCAGCCGTGTTGAACACTGACCAAACCAGCATTGCTCACACAGGATACCGTTTCATCATGACCCTGTTGGAAACATATAACTTGAGTATGGTCCTCAATAAATGCAATAACTGCAATAATTAAAATACAACTGTAGATCATAAATTATTTTTTCTTTTTCTTCTTTTTTTTTTTAAATGTTAACTAAACTACTAGTCATCCTCTTGTGGACTGCAAATTTTTGTTATTTTGAAGCCCCACCCTGGCTCTCAACAGGGGCCGCAATATAGCCCGGCCATAAATATGGTCTAATGGCTGAACGCGGTTTCCGGGACTTCTCGACTGGTGATCCTCATCCACATGGTGGCACTTTGTGTCATCGGGTGTTTACGGCTTGTCTGATGTTCTAGTGGGGTGAAATGTACTACTACTAATTCTTCTTCTCCGTTAACCGGCTGTGAATTCCGGCGGAAGGTCCCAGTAGTTCATACATTTGGACTTTTGGCTTTTACCTGGACCTGAGTTTTGCGTACACATCCGTTTTACTAGTTTATTTGTTTGCTGTTCTCTGCCTCACCATCAGATGTACTCAGACTACGAGGGAAAATTACTTCTATCTCTCTCTCTTACACACACACACAAACACACAATCGCGCACGCACACAAACGCGCACACCTATGCACGCGCACACACATGCAGAGAGAGAGAGAGAGAGAGAGAGAGAGAGAGAGAGAGAGAGAGAGAGAGAGAGAAAGAGAGTGAGATAGGAGGGAGAATAAACAACACGTTTCAAAACAACTCAAAAATGTCGCTGAAGTGTTGTACTTTGTCGTTGTTGGTTGCTGATTTGCTGATGAATATACATCTCTGCAATATCCTTTATTTAATAATATATTGTGTTCTTTGAAACTGACATAGAGGTGTGTCTTTTAACACCCGCTGGCTGTTCCCCAAGTTTAAAAGCTTTACTGCATTTAGCTTATTTCGATGAAATTACTTTAAAGTACTGCCAATTGTGGGACGACAAGTTCTCAAATGTTAAAACATTATTGAGATGTATTTATTTATTTCCTATTTTGCATAATTCTTTACACTTTTGATCTTAAATATTTCTTGCTTAATATTTAATTTACATCAAGACTTTTTTCCTCAGTTTGCATGACCTCAGCAAAGGCGGAAACGATCTCAGAATATATATATATATATATATATATATATATATATATATATATATATATATATATATATATATATATATATATATATATATATAATCAACAGTGTACTAAATGATCTGAGAAGAAAAATTAGTAAATTCCAATCAATTAAAAGACTTTTTAGGTACTTCGTTGTTTTGTCACCTGATTAATTTACAGTAAGACAGTACTCAGGTATAAAAAGTAAGTTCAGTGCAAAACAAATATTTTTTTAAAAATGTTTTCTTATGGGGCATATCCGACCCTTCCCTTTTAGCAAACTGTTTCCTACAAAGCACGCTTTTCAACACAACCTACTAAACTAAATGTGAAAAAATAAGATAATTCAACATTTGTCTTAAACGCGATGACATAAGATGGATGATGTGACACAAAACCAAAGAAAGGAATCGTCACTCCAATGACCAAAGACATCTTTACATAAAAGGGTAGAATTGGCAAGAGGAAAAATATATAACAAGTATACATACAAATAAACTTAGTAAAAAGTTGTTGGTGCCATGTTTTTTCTGAACGGCTGTGACATTTTTCATTATGTTCAGCCTTGTGTCTCATCTATTGCCAGTCCTTTGATGGTCCAATACAAATATCATTCCTTGCTTCACGTGCCCAACATCCACTCTGGTGGTAAATATCCACTCTGGTGGTCAATATCTACTCTCGTGGTCGATAGCTACCCTTGTGGTCAATATCTAATCTCGTGATCACTATCCACTCTCGTGATCAATATCCACTTTCGTGGTCAATATCTACTCTCGTGGTCAATATCCACTCTCGTGGTCAATATCCACTCTCGTGGTCAATATCTACTCTCGTGGTCAGTATCTACTCTCGTGGTCAGTATCTACTCTCGTGGTCAGTATTCACATCTCGTGGTCAGTATTTACTCTCGTGGTCAATATCTACTCTCGTGGTCAGTATCCACTCTCGTGGTCAGTATTCACTCTCGTGGTCATTATCCACTCTCGTGGTCAGTATCTACTCTCGTGGTCAATATCCACACTCGTGGTCAATATCCACACTCGTGGTCAATATCTACTCTCGTGGTTAATATCCACACTCGTGGTCAATATCTACTCTCGTGGTTAATATCCACTCTCGTGGTCAATATCCACTCTCGTGGTCAATATCTACTCTCGTGGTCAGTATCCACTCTCATGGTCAGTATCCACTCTCGTGGTCAGTATCCACTCTCGTGGTCAATATCTACTCTTGTGGTCAGTATCCACTCTCGTGGTCAGTATCCACTCTCGTGGTCAATATCCACTCTCGTGTTTAGTATCTACTCTCGTGGTCAATATCCACACTCGTGGTCAATATCCACACTCGTGGTCAATATCTACTCTCGTGGTTAATATCCACACTCGTGGTCAATATCTACTCTCGTGGTTAATATCCACTCTCGTGGTCAACATCCACTCTCGTGGTCAACATCCGCTCTCGTGGTCAGTATCCACGCTTCTCTTCCCTGCTAGAATTTAATGATGTAATAGCGGACTGCAGATTTACCCAGTCATTTTCTGTACAGTAAATGGGAAATGGCTTCTCCTGATATAGCAATTAGTTTCTCGTGCGAATGAATTCTTTGAAGTCATCTTTTTTACATTTAATATCTGGCCACTGTTTTCTTATAATTTTTTTAATTACAGCATATTTCTGCTCCTCTAACATGTTTCCATGATAACCTGCTAAATGATACACAAGCGAACAACAGGATTCGCCTTATATAGATTTTGAGATTTTTCCCCCTGACCTAAACTGACCATTCGGTCACGATTAAGATCAAACCCCATGATCTTCTGGTTGATTCTATGATTGTCTATCAGTCTGTGTCATTATTCTCAGTGTTATTTATGTACAGCTCGAACTGATCTATGATGAGGCGAGAAAATCAGTTTTTACTTTTGTATTGCATTATAATATTAAAAACTGGATAAAATGCTGCATCGCATGAGAGCCGGGCACAACAGACTTTTGTTACTTTGCAACCGTTCTGTTGTGCCCCATTATAAATGTCAGGCTTCGTAATGCCTGGGACCGGATTCGATCCCAACTGCGGGTCTTGCACCTTTGGTTGGTTTCGACTGTGGCATCGAGTAGCCGACCGTCCAGAAAGCAATGCAAACTACAGGATGTTAAATTTCCTAGATAAACCACAGCAGCCAAAAATGCTGGAGTTGATTCTGCAACGTCCTGTAAAGGATACGTAACTAACATTTCTAAATATGTCTTTATGGCTGAAGGGGTTTATGAGATTTGTACCTTTTGATTCTCATCCTTGAGATGTTTATATTGTAGACAGCAATATTGAAGGAAGGGGAAAACAAGAATAACTCCATGGTAGCACAAATGACCTAGGACTGGCTGACTGACTTTCCTCCCCACCAGGACATCACACAAGCGATAAACACCCGATGACACGAAGTGCCACCATGCAGATGAGGATCACCGTGGAGAGGTCCCAGAAACCGCGTTCAGACAATTGGCCATATTGATGGCCTGCCTATATTGCGGCCCCTGGCAAAAGCCAGAGTGGGGCTTCAAATAACAAAAAATTACGTTCTAAGAAGGACGAAATATTTAACTTATTTTTTTATAATGACCTAGGATATTTAACTGTGAACTCAAATAATAAATGTCAAATATAATGTACCCCACACAGTGCATACATACATACCATTATTAGGTCATCAGAGAAACCAACAGACACCCAATTTTCAGCTATGGCGTACATCTCGAACTGGTAGTCGTCAGTGTCCGGTCGATGCTGGAAACTGACAGCTGCCAAACACTCACTTAAGTTGCAGTGTCGGGGATACACGAAACAACCTTTGGTTTCTCCACACTCAGCAAAGTCTACATCCCTGACCATGTGACTGAATATTATCGGCTGCGGTGGAACATGATCAAAACTGTAACATTACTCAGTAGAAACAATATCAAATTACTGACTTCAACATAGTAACATTACACAGTCAAACAATTTTGAATGACATACTACAAGAATATTAAATTACCCAGTCCAAAAGTGTGAAAATATCTGGTGTTAAGCTAATAATTCGACAATCCAAAATTACTCAGGCTAAGTGCATGCATCAACCATTTAATGTTTCTGACCTAATTATCACAGAATTACTCTCTGATGTTTACAAAATCTATGACTTTTCCGTGTAGCCTGTTATACCCTAACCTGTCATTACTATTTAATCTCCTTCCCTATGTGGGACGAATTATTCGTTATGTTGAAGCCCCACCGAGGTTGTTGCCGGGGGCCCCAATATAACCTAACGGCTAAACGAGGTTTCTGAAACCTCTCCACGTGGGTCCTTATTCGAATGGTGGCACTTTGTGTCACCGAATGTTTGTCGCTCAGTGTGATGTCTGGTGGGGTGAAAAAGTCAGTCAATCATTACTATCTCTGTGAAAATTCACGAGTTACGAGCAGACACGTTCTTAAATACGGAATTTGCGCAAACACTTCCTTTCTTATTGCTTTCGAGATGATATATGTGTACTTTCTTCTTATATTCATCTTTCACTTAGTGACCGTCCACTAGTGTGTCCTACTGCCTCGTTGTCATTAGATCGATCCATGTGTTACCTACAGTCTGCTACCTAAAGGCTTAGCACCCTGAGATAAAACACAGTTCTCATCTGGATGGAAGACCACCAGGGTAGATCTCATATGCCACGATCAACCTCTAAAGAAGTTATAATTAGGGCATCCGCAACACCAGCCCTGTGAAACATCTAATTCTGTGCAGGTCAGGAAAACAGCAGTTATTCGTGTATATTTTTAAAATATATATCTGCCTACCTGTTATAGAAATAATACATTTACCCCCCCCCCTATTCTATATATATATATATATATATATATATATATATATATATATATATATATATATATATATATATATATATAATGCACTGTCATCATCATCATCATCAACATCATATTTTAGAAAAAATCGTTACGTTTAGCAAGCATCTCCGAATAGGTAACTTTAGGTTATAATTGAGATTAAGTTATGTGCTCCACATACTCGTAAAATGGCTTAGCAGGAAAACAGCAGTTATTCGTGTATATTTTTAAAATATATATCTGCCTACCTGTTATAGAAATAATACATTTACCCCCCCCCCCCCCTCCTATTCTATATATATATATATATATATATATATATATATATATATATATATATATATATATATATATATATATATAAATATATATAATGCACTGTCATCATCATCATCATCAACATCATATTTTAGAAAAAATCGTTACGTTTAGCCAGCATCTCCGAATAGGTAACTTTAGTTTATAATTGAGATTAAGTTATGTGCTCCACATACTCGTAAAATGGCTTAGCATTGCACCAATTCCAATTCGTGCAACAAAAATTTCAAATTTGATCCTCTTTCAGCCGCCCGGAGGCCTGCTATATCGAAGAAGGTTCCTTAGCTGTCTTATATGGTTTCCTTTTATTTGTGGTGTGTGGTCACACCTGATATTACGGTTGTTTGCTTCCTTGCTGTGCTGCGGTGATTGTGGTTTTTGGTTCTGGTGTGATCCAGATCTCTTTGTGATGATATCGACGGGTACTAGCTGACTGTTGCTGGCGCTTGGCTTGCCTCGTGCTGGTCGCTGCGCTGGTGCCCTGTTGCTGCTTGGTTGCCGATCTGTAAGCCGCGGGTAAAAGCCAAACGTCGGTTGCGCCGTCATGAACAATGTTCCCTTTCAGGACAACCAGGGCCGTCACAATCTGTTGTTGTGATCAGCCCGTTTTTTTCCCCCACAGAGTGTGGAGAAGTAGTGGAGGTAAGATAGAATGCAAATGAGAGATCAGTTTGCTCGAATGTGCCAGGAGATGTGATAGTTAGGTCGGGAGAATGAGAGTAGCAGATAGAGGTAGGATCCACCCTGGTCGGTTGAGGTCACTTGGTCTGAAATAAAAGTGAAAGGCATTTGTTAAAATATACGTGGGGTGAGGTGGGGTGGCATGAGAGAGACTGGAATTCCCCAGTGCTGGTCTCCTTAGGTGCAATGCCCTCGGCTATCTGTTTCGGAGCGTCGGGTGGCCTGTGGTATTTTCCGTTGTCTTCTTTTTCCTGAAAATAAACTAGGTTTAGATTTTTGGTTAGCTCTATGGTAATTGCGTCGTTATTTGCCAGTGGGGCAGAGCGGGTGGGTGTGGCTCCGGTACGGCGACTGTCTGTCTGGTTGGCGATTGTTTGTTTTGGGCTGTCCGTAAAGATGGCGGCTTGTTTGGTGGGCTCCTCCTGTGGTTCTTTAGAATTGGCGGTAGCCTCTTCTATTCGGTGTGCCATGTTTCCCCTGCTTTTTCTTTGGCGCCCGGAGTTGGTCTAAGGCTGTGTTTAACTCGTCGCAGAATCGGTCAACTTTCTTGTTCTTTTCAAGCAGTTCGGGTGTTTCGCCTTCATCTCCGTATTCCTCAAATGTGTAGCCGACAACGTAGCAGCAGCAGTCGTCGAAATACTCCAGCGTGTGCGGAGCTACTTGTTTGTTGTAATCTTCAATCCTCGCTTGAAGGTCGGCGTAGCTAGTTATTTCGGCTGCTGCTGTTTGGCTCACGCGTGAGGTGGCTGGCTGCCTGACGAGTGTTTCGCTTCGTTAGTCGATTGTCGTGGCATCTGTCATCTGTGCCTGGTGTTGCGTCATTACCGTTTCGGTAACTGTGCTTTTGTCGGCTTTGTTGATAATTGGTTGCTTTACAGCTTTCCTGGAAGCCTCTCTTTCTTTCTCTAGCAGGGCACACTCTGTTCTTGCCGCCAGCACTGCAGCTTCGGCTCCTGCCTTTGCTTGGATCATGAGGGCGACTTCTTTATAAGTGCTTTCTCGAGCTTCCTTGAGTGCATCGGTTTCCTTTCTTCTCTCCTCCCTTTCTTCTTGTCGGCTGGTCTCGTCTGCAGCTTTTTCTGCTTGCAATTTTAGGGTCATTTCTGTCAGGTTTTTCTGCATTTGTGTAGCCTCTGCTAGCCACTTTGTTTGCTGCGAGACTTGTTCTTGTCTGTCGTCTTTCAAGGCTTTGATTTCGTCACGCATTTGCGAAATCAGGTCTAGCAACTGCGTTCTGTCAGCGTCGGTGTTGGTAGCGTCAGACTTTTCTTTGCGGAGGGTTCTGATTTCAGCTAAAGTTTCAGAAATTTGTAGCGAGATTTCGGGGTCCTTTGCGGCTGTGATCGCCTTGTCGGTTCGTGTGTCTGATGTCCGTTGTGCTGGCTTACCACTTGGTTGCTTTGGTGCTGCTGAGGACCTGGGTGCCACGTATCTCTGTCTAGCTGCTTCGTGGGCGGTTCTTAGTGTCCTCTTGCACTGCTGGAGATACGGGCAGTCCATGTATCTCGCACCGTGCGCACCGGAACAGTTGGAGCATTTGCGGTTGCTGTTCGTTTTTTTTAAGGTAGTGTCAATTTTAGCCAGCGGGCACTCCTTGAATTCGTGCGCACCAGAACAGTATCTGCACGATAGGCTGCTGCGGCAGGACGAGGCAGTATGCCACGCCCTATTGCAGCGCGAGCACTGCATGATGTCTGGTGTGCTGTTCTCAGGCTGCCGCTGCTTTCGTAGGCGAGGGGGTCCCTGCGTCGCTACCGAGGCGGCATCAGGCGCCCTGAAAGGTCGGCTCCCGGGGGAGCGGCCCTCTGTGCTGGTGATCCTGGTGTTTCAGTCGTTATGGGCACAGTTTCCATTTTCAACGGTAATTGTAAAAGTTCTCGAATTTATTTAGAGGTTAAACGCACGCCCTAGGTTTCGGTTTAAAAAAGTTTATAATGTAGATTATAATTACCTAGGGCGTTGTTCCTTCCTTTCGTGATTCTTGGATACTCTGGTCACTGGTGTAGATCTTTGTTGCTGGTAGTTGTCGTTTGGCTAGATGCGTACACGGGCTGCTAATGACCCAAACGCAAGCGACTCCGATAGCTTAGTCGAGACAGACTCAGCTGAATATCAAGCGAATCTGTCCAGTAGCTAGCTATCGAAAATAAAAAACAAATGGATAGTTAGCGGTCGACGTAACGTGGCGAGGCGGGCTTGGGCGTTCAACGTCTTTCTAGAGCGAAGGCAGTCAGCGAACTGGAGCATTGCACGCCACCAGCAACACTAAAAAGGAATCCTGAAATGTTGGTGCGAAAAAAGAGACAGACCCAAATACTGTCCCGACCGGTGAGAAAGTCGTCTACCGGCCAACCAATGGGTGACCCAGTAGCCAATGATAATGCATTGTGTGAAGCTGTTTAATACTTAAAACTCAAGCTTAGACAAATACTGACCTTATACTTGGATGCTTTCACTACTGTAAGGTCTTGACTTGCTGACAGTAATTTCCCTTCAACGTCGATCCAGAAAACCTCAAAATTCACCACGACTGTAGCTCTGAAATGGTTATCACAATCTACATTGTTTTATTGATTATAATAAGGTAAAAAAAAAAAAAAAAAAAAAGTAAACGACCCTTTTCCACGCCTTTAGGCGTATAGGGCTAGACCTATATTTTTAAAGACCAATCAGCACAAGATGGGTAAAGAGCATCACCCGGGCCGCCTTTACTTCCCGGGACTGCAACCGGTACCCACTCAAAGCTAGGTCGACCAAGGTCATTTTTGAAAAAAATTCCGGCTCTTCAAACCCACGTCCCTCCGATCCCCAGTGAGCGTCTAGCCGCTCCGCCACAGCGACTTATTGATTATATAGGCTGATCAAAATATAGCATACTATGCTTTTATGTTCATTTGCAACTATCAACAGTTTTAACAGTAATTCTCGGCAGGACCTTTAAAGCTGTTCATTGACGTAGTAACTCTTTATTGCTTTTACCGGGCAATAATGTGAATGTGATTGACCGTCAAAATATTTGTTTTTGTTTAGCTGACAGATACCATTGTACATTGCCTTGTTGCAACGAAACTCGTTAGCCGAAATCGTTTGGGTTTGTTCCTGGGTCGAAGCTGATTCTTGAAAACTCTCCGTCCGACACATCTTATCCGTCGACCTGGATAAATCAATCCCTACATAATTTTGTGAAAGTCTTACATTTCACAGTGAATGTAGCAGTATGAACTATGATGTCTATGTCTTTAGGTATCGTCTCCGTCCCTATTTAGGACACCATTTTTTAGTTACTTTAAAGCCCCACCACGCCTCTCGTCGGTGGGTCCCCTTATATAATCTAATAGTTGAACATGGTTTCTTGGACTTGTGTCAGATGGATTCTCATCCGAATGGTGACACTTTGTGTCTCTGTGTGTTTATCATTCATTGTGTGGTCCTGGTGGGAGTTGATCGGAGCGCGCGCGGAGCATGTCTCCGTCGCGAAGTGGTCGTGTTTTCGTGCTCTGAAAGTGGTGGATTCGTTTCGCGGACTTCGCCTTAGGATTAACGAGTGAATTCTTTTTCACCGAGAACCCTCAGAATCGTTGGTTAGCTGCAGATTTAAAACTTTCTGCGGTACTCTGGACAAGAGGCCAACTTTCTGAGGAGACGTCTTTCAGCAATATAACATAATACCTTGTAGAATGAATTTTCCTCAACTTTAAAATTGTAAACAAAATATTACATTTGTATCAGTCTTTTATCACATTGTATTTATCCACAGAATTTGATCGGGGATTACTAATCAGTATGTCTGACTTGCTCAAACATTCTGTTAAATAAATTAGGCACTTTCGGAAGCTGCGTTTTCGAACATCTACTAGAATGACAGTCAAGCACCTAAACCTTCCTTGCAAAATGTAGTCTATTTTATTCATATTTCCCTGTCAGACATTACCTTTCATTGTTGACCGCTGGCAATAAGGTAATCAGTTGCGCGGAGTAGAAAATTTCAGCCTCTAAAAAAAAAAAGTGAGATACGTTTTCCCAACCTCTCAATAGAGCAATGTAAGCTGTAAATAAATAACATGGAAAATAGTGTCCAATATTGTCCCATACTGATAGACAGAAGTAGAATCAGCAAGACAATCTTGAATTGAATCTGCATCGTGGCTGATTTTTTTCTTCCTCAAAACTGATATTTACTGACAGACGGACTTTCTACCCCACAAGGACATCACACAAGCGATAAACACCCGATGACACAATGTGCCACCATGTGGATGACGATCACCGTGGAGAGGTTCCAGAAAACGCGTTCAGCCTTTAGGCCATGTCTATGGCCAGGCTATATTGCGGTCCCTGGCAAGAGCCAGAGTATGGCTTCAAATAACGAAAAATTTCATCCTTAAAAGGATGGAAAGTTATAGTACTGAACAACAAACTGATCTTGGCTCACAGGTCAGTCTTATTTAAATTGGCACAGGGAATGGCCTGGTAAATTCAGACAGTTGGCATAATTTTGACCAAGTCAACTGGATTGGTCAAAACAATAAGTGTGAATATTTACATCCGATGCATCACTGGCGTACGAATGGTATGGTCTTTTATTTATTTTTAATTTAAAAAAAAAAAAAAAATTACATAGAGCTAGGAAAAAAAAAATCCATATATCTGCTAAAATGAAAAAATACAGCGTGCTTGCAGAAAGCGGTTCAGATTAACATACCTGAATATTAGATCTCCAACGTTGTCACTGGGAGCTTTCCACACTAATTTCACACTTTGAATTTTCACATCATTTTTTTGCGTAACCATGTTCTACGGAGAGTCAACAAGAAGTAGGTGAATAGAATTCTTAACAGTTACATTTGCAGTATGTATTAATAAATCTATATTCACTTTTGCTGTAGCTGCGAACGCACTTTGTAATTTCGAAGTATCCGGTTCGATTCCGGCTGCAAGCGATTTGGAAGCAGACTGCTGTGCGTTGATTTCAAACAACAGTAGTAAGCGCTGATGGTTTAATGGACAATGCCACATTATTAAAAGTAAATTTGTCTGGTGAAACTACAACAGACAAAAACAACAACACCACCAACAACAACAACAACAACAAATGCTGTCAGTTATCTCTGCGTAAAAAGTAACTAAACTAAATACAACATTTATGTGTTTCAGTAAATCAAAGTAACTCTAAGCCATAGAACATCCTAGGTGTATCAATGAAAGATCGACTTAGGAACGATAATATCAAGAAAACAGTCGGCATATATCTAATACTGAACTTAATAGGTTAGTTGCGTATCCTTTACAGGACGTTGCAGAACCCACCCCAACAGCCCCGGGCTGTTGTATGTTTTTCCTAGGCAAATTTACGTTCAGTAGTTAGCCATTGCTACCTGGACGGTCGGCTTTTTTGATACCACTGTCGAAACCAACGCAAGGCGCATCGCCCGCAGCTGGGATCGAACCCGGCATCCCGATATTACGAAGCGTTCGAATCGACTTAGCCACAGAGCCGACGAAATAGGTAGACAACAAATCAAATGGTTTAGTCGTGGAAAAAGATTGGCATCAGATAAGCCACCACAAAGAGCAATGTTATACAGATCCAGCGGTAGCCTAGCCGCCATATGTAGACCACACAGATGGACAGCAGAAATAGCAAAGACACTGAACAATACTTTATACGAAGCGAACAGAGGTGCCTGTTCCAGAGATCTATTCCTGTCCTGAGGCCACAAGGCATTCCAGAAGTAGAGAAAAGAAAAAGACAATAATAAATTCCGATAGCTTTTAGTTTTTCCGTATACAATCAGTTTCCACTTATCTTATTTTACAAATGCTTCTGGTCGCTAGCTTTTCTTGTACATAGTTTCTTTTTAACGATGATTGCAATTTTAATGTCGATAAGCATGCGCTGTTGTCGCTTTTTGCAAGCATAAAATTAAAAAAATTAAAAATAGTGTCCTACCCTGTAACCACCGAAGCATGTCAAAGCCTTGAACTTGTCAAGGGGGTAAGCGACGAACTCCCCCACAATCTCCTCTGTATTGCCCGAAGCTCGATAGGCCGCTATCTGAAGGCCACTAAACCACCGGCCCCTGGGATCTTCCACAGTGACTGTTAAGAAAGAGATTTTGTTGTGCGACAGTGGTACTGAGTACTAAACCATTTGATTAAAGTAGTCTGTCGCTATAATCCTCCCTAGGTAATTAAACAATATTGTCCACGTCTTCAGGCGTATTGCGCATTCAGGGCAAGAATTCTAGGTACTTAACCTCCCTCATCTGGATCTACACATCTGGTCATGCGGGCGAACAGGGTAATGAGCGAGCGGACAAACTGGCAAGCAATGCGCCCAGGCATGTTGGAAGAAGCATGGATAGAGCAGATATCATTAACGCTGTACGGAATGAGCTAGTGAATAATGAAGGATCGCTGCCACCAACACGATTGCATGACAAGAAAGTAAAGCATGGTGACGCACGTCTATGACGTCTTCGAGGCCAAGATAAGAGACACTATAACCAGCTTCTCATGGAAACAATTAGTTTGAGTACTTTGGAGTAGATGCTGCATCGGAGGACTGAGCACGCATGGGAATGCCAAATGTGCATTGACGTCAATTGTGATAACATAACATAACATAAAACAATTTATATGTAATTAGGTGAAGGACAATTTTTAAACTGGAGGCGCATCAGGCATCTTGTGTTAGGCACATATTGTTACCAATCAATCAATACTCGATGGGTGATGGTCAGCATTAGTCTGATCTTGACTTTTCGAGATTATTCCAGATATTCATTTAAGATAGGGTCGACCAGAGAGTCAAATGTCAATGATAAAACATAAGCCTCGATACGGACTCGAATTAACATGTTCGGACTTGCAGGCAAGGCTTTAACCACTGCACTATCGTGGCTGTTCCTCGCTTTCTGTCGCATATATCATTTGCCCCAAAAATTATAAGAAGAACTGAACTGATCTGATATCATATTACTCAAATTCGTGTCTGATACTAACAAATCTCAAGGTGTCATTTTTCCTCTCGAGATTCATAACACTCTCAATATCATTCTAGCGGCGCCCGTGGCTTAGGCGTTGCTAGTCCGACTCGTAATTCCAACGTACCGCGATCGAAACCCACTGCTGGCTGCGTGGATTTTATCATGGTATGGGGCGTCGCAGGTCGACCCAGCCTAAAATGGGTACCACGATGTCTGTCCTGGGGACGTCCGGCGTAATACTGACCAAATTACCCACCTAGTGCCGATGGTCTGAAAAAATATGGGCGCTCTTCCCATTTACCCGATGCACCTTAAGGCGTGACAAGGGATCTTTACTTTACTTTACTCAATATTTAACTAGGGAAGAGATGTGGTGACTTCTGTGTACCTACCACACACAATTTAGTTGCTTTGTGGCTTTCGCACCAGAGGCGGTTTGCTATGTTCACTTGCAAAGGTGTTAACATTTACTGATGGAAAATGTAACTTACGTTTTTGAGGGTTTGAACAACGGATCAACATCATGGCACACGCGTGTAACCCATAAGAGCTATGTTCTTCTTCTCTAACTTAAGTCTGAGTCATAAGAAGTTCAGCACAGTGCACAAGCTCTGTAGCTCCGGTGAGGATCCTGAAATACTTGGGGAAGATATGTAACTCCAAATTTTGCCCGGGCAGCGCTATTAGGCTAATCTTTTTGATTTCCAACTGCCAAGGGATTTTTCAAGTGCGCAACAATGCACTAGGGCGTCCGATCTCACTACCCAGAGACCAGGGGAAATTACTAGGAGTCTAAGTCCACGTGAAAAAATCCTAGCCTTTACCGTGGATTGAACCCCAAACCTCTAGCACTCGAGGCCGATACCATACCTCGAGACCAGGCAGCCTCCTATGTAACTTATAAACTTTATTTACCGTGCACGTGTGCCTTTACTTTTTTTCCCCACCACTCCTCGTCAACAGTTTTAAGCTTCTGTTATCAAGACCATGTCGGCTCTGTGGCTAAGTCGATGCGAACGCTTCGTTGTGCCGGGATGCCGGGTTCGATCCCAGCTGCGGGCAATGCGCCTTGGTTTCGACAGTGGTATCAAGAAAGCCAACCGTCCAGAAAGCAATGGCAAACTACTGGACGTAAATTTGCCTAAAAAAACCACAGAACAGCCAGAGGCTGTTGGGGTTGGTTCTGCAACGTCCTGTAAAGGATACGCAACAACCTTTATCAAGATCATGCACTTTTGCATCGATTAGTTGACCTATAAGTTACGACTTTTAATACGTATACCGTATTTAAACGAAATTATTTATACGACACACAGAACATTATAATTAGTCCTTGAGTTCTTCACATAACCTCACTCTATTCACGCCACTCGCCAACGTCTGTCTGTCTATAGCTGATTCTCCAGCCCAACATGCATTCAAAGCCAATACATCTTCAGTGTCTTGTATCCACCATCACAGAGGTCGGCGTCTGCCTCGTTTTCAGAGAACTGTACCATTAATCTGGTTTTTTTTCCCTCCAGACCGTTCGATGTTTGACATGGCCAAAATACCCCAGCTTTCAGGAAAAAATGATGCGCAAGAGCCGGTTCTTCTATATAACATGCAAGATGTCGATGTGTTTCTTCATCCTGGTCCAAGAGAAACAAGAATTGTAATAAGAGAACGTTCTCAAAAGTTATGAAAAAGGGGCGCTGACACAAAGAAAACTGGGGTTGATGGAGGGGGCTGAAAACACAAAGAAAACGAGGGGGCGGGGGAGGGCGAGGGGGGGGGGTTTGCACTGCGGGCGTGTATAATTTCTATTGGCGAATAAGTGTTAGTAACTGAGCCTTGTATAAATGTGCAGCAATAACGTTTATTATTATTATTATTGTTTTGTGGTGAATGGTTTTAAATATATAATAAATTGAAGAGAAAAAAAAAAGTACAAACAATTACTAAGAAAAATTATCATATGAAGTGTTGGGAAATGGAAGGGGCCCTTAGCCCCATTTGCAAGTATTCTTGGGGTACAGGAGAGTGGGGAATCTGCAGACCACTAAATAATATTGAGTTAGATTACACCCCATTCATTAAGCAGTTGTTTTTCGGGTGAGGGGCTACTGAGGGGTGAAGGGCAGCTCAAGATGCTTGAGTCACAGATACCGACATCTCTGTTTGTAATTAAATTTCCATGTTACTCAAATTCTTACAAAGTAAGTGTATCATTAATTATTATTATTGTTTGACAATATATTATTTATGTAAGCACTTAATAATCGTTACCGAAAATGATTGCTCCCGGTGTGTATGTCAGCTTTGAGAAAGTGATGGCGAAGGGGGATGATGATACTTGTGTTCCCAATCCCTTGTGTTTGGGGTATCGTGTCCAGCAGGTGGATTGTGGTGCACCGATAGAGTAACCATCAGCTGTGTAGGATAATCCATGTCCATTAGACAATGAATAAGAGGGACACAAATTAGTTTAACTATGAAGTAGAACTAGTCAGCTTGTAATAAAATACAAGACTTACTGACTTAATCGCTCTTCTTCTTCCTCGGGGTATAGAGGTCCCAGAGAGATCACAGACTGTTCTATCAGCAGATTTCTTTGTAACTTTGTTCCATTCAAGTCCTCTTTCAGCTAGGGACTGCCAGATGTTTTTTTCAGGGTGAACGCGGGGTGGTCCCGGTGGTCTGGTTCCCTGGTTCTTGGCATCATATGCCTACCGTGGTGGATGACTCTCTTCAATTCCGCATCCATGTCCAAACCATCGTAACTATGACTGATCCACGCACGTCTGTAGACCGTGGGTTTCAAAATCATGATGTGTTGTCTGACTGCGAACTTTCCCCTTCTAGTCACTTGGACCACCTGTCTCATATACTTTGTTTCAGAAGCTTGAAGCTATCATCTTTGAACGTTAAATATTGCCCTTAACTCACACCTATAAGTCAGGACTGGCAGATAGGTAGAGCGGAATACAGATATTTTTCTTAAAACAAAGACACGAATATAAAATGAGTGATGTGGCTAGAAAGCCACAGCATATAACACACAAAGACAATGATGCCAATTTACTGATTTCAGAATCGACGCCATAGCACATCGGGCACGCCAGTAAACGTCCCGTCTTCCACAGCAAATTCTGAAGCGGTAGATGCTAACTGCTCTCGGAGCACACTGATTATACACACGCTGTTCTCTTCTTGTATTACGTCATCCACATCTAAGTCCTTGTTCACACAACCTTTCACATTTTATTTAATCTAATCTCATGTCTTCTATCCGTATTCAATCGTAAATGGTCTTCAGACTGTTTCCTTTGTCCCCAGAGCTGTAACTTTCGTAGCCAGAAAATGCGCTCTTTCATTCCCTCGCACTCCTGCATATGACAGCCAGTATAGCCACGTGATTGTCAATAATGTTGACCTACTGATGCTTGGTATCCATTTTTCCATATTTTTCCATTTTAAACCTTTCGCATTCAAACAGAAAGACACTATAATTCTTCTGGCAACTCTGTTTTCTGCAATCCACTTCAGAACTAGAATGACTGACTTTATTGAAATTCTTGTGCTTGTAGCTGAAATATGGAAAACTGTACAGATATATTAGACATATTATGTAGATGGGCACAAATAAATGACATTTTTTAGAAAGGAAGAGTCAAGCGAGATGTGAAACTAGTGAACTGCAGTAAAAAAATTAAAATGTCATAAACAAAATCATTAAACAAATATTAGCCTAAGCAAGAAATAGACCGAGTCAGCTTCGTAAAAAATGGAATGCCGGTCTGGTTATGTGATCAATGCACTACTGAAAATAGTGATACATATTTTTTTGGGCCCAAACAGAAAACAGAAACATGAAATCTCGATCACCGTTGCACAAACTGATTCTTCTAAAAGAATGCACATAATGTTGAGCAGACAAGCCATGACCATTAAGCAAGAACAGGTAATAGTATGTATATATTTAAAAAAATCACATATGACGCTATCGTTTTTATCTTTTTTTTTAATGTTCTGCCCCTCCGCATCATCACCGATAGCATCATTATCTATTTCCCCTTTTTATCCGCCTCCTCCTTCTTATTTTGTTCTTTATTGCCCGAGTCGGCCTATCGTTTTGCAGGTTTGCAGCCTGCTATCATAAACACGTTTGTGAAGTTCACATCTGGATACTGTTTACAACAATGCTGACACGACACATATATCTGACGTACACTGTTTGACCATTATTAAAACCTATGCCAGCTTGCATCAGGTTCTGGCTACTGCATCCAACCAGTGACGGAGCCGATATGATGAAATTATCTGAGTCACTGATAAATTATCCAAAACCTAAATGTCGAAGGATAATAAACCACAGTCAATCATACAGTCGCACATGGTTAATGAAAAGGAAATTACCCCGTAATTAACATTTCCATTACTTAAATAACATGCGGTAATGATTGCACATAGATGCATGCTTACCCGTTGAATCCAAGAGAAGAAATACAAGCAGTTTCCCAAACTGCGAAATACGTGTTGCAAACATTGCGGTTACTTCTACACTGAAGCAGTCCGGATCTGGTCTGTGAAGTATCTATGACAATGGCGTTTGATGCCGTTCCCTGGAAGCTTGTATTGGAGTAACAAATGAGAAATAGTAGGTAGAAGTTTACACCAACTCTCATACAACAAAAAGCTTTAATACTTATGCGCAAACGATTACCTAAAAATGTGCAGCAGTAGAGGGTAAAACCCACGTATAAATAATATGCTAAAAAAAAAAAAAAAATTAACAAAATAGCTAATATAAATACAATGAATCAGGATTTTTTTTTCTGAACAAAACCGCAATTATTGTTTGTTTTCGAAATTTTTCTTGTTACTGTGAATGGAACTGTTTTACAGGAATGAAAATCTCTGACAGTGAACATATGTAAAGTATCCAGGTGTCTATCACTATTATGAAAGATTTGTGCCTTTCTCATTACATTTGTATTTAACGGTGTTGGTTTATTGGGTTACTGTTTATCAGGTTACTATTTTTTGCTTATGCCTTGGTCATCTCTATCTGAATGGATCTAGGCTGTTGGAACTATTAGCCGCATTGATATTCCAATAATGAGAGTGAAAGATCATCTTAAAGGAAGCAAGCGAGAGTGGAAGATCATCTAAAATGAGTAATTTCTGACCCAGATTCCTTCTGCTTTGATAGAATGGTACTGTTAATATATTTAACGCTAAATGAAACATTTGCATTAACACACAGTATTCCCAACAAAACATCATTGAGTTACTCAGCTGCTACCATCTCTTTAGAGGGCTAAGTAATATAATGGTTTAACCTAAAACATCTTTGAGTTACACAGCTGCTGTTATCTCTTTAGAAGGTTAAGTTATATAATAGTTAAACCTAAAATATCCTTGAGTTACTCAGCTGCTGCTATCTCTTTAGAGGGCTAAGTAATATAATGGTTAATCCTAAAACATCATTGAGTTACTTAGCTTCTGTTATCTCTTAAGAAGGCTGACTAATTTAATGGTGTAACAGAACATCCTTGAGTTACTCAGTAGCTTTACTTTAGAAGTCTGAGTAATTTAATGGTTAAACCAAAGAACATCTTCGAGTTACTTAGCTGCTGTTATCACTTTAGAAATCTGAATAATTTATTGGTTAAACCAAAAAAACATCCTTTAGCTCCTCAGCTGCTGTTAATACATTACTAAACTAAAGAACCCTTTTCCACGTCTTTAGGCGTATTGGGCAAATAGGGCTAGACCTATATTTTTATAGACCAATGGGCACATGATGGGTGATGTCGTCAGCATCACGCCGGCCGCATTTATATTCCAGGACTGCAGCTGGTACCCAATCAAGGCTGGGTCGACACGGTACCCAAGGTCATTTCTGAAAAAAGTCCGGCTTCATCAGGGAGAGAACCCACGACCTTCAGATCCGTCAAGCCGCTTTGCCACGGCTACTCTGTTATCATCTTAGAGGGTTGAGTCATTTAATCATTCTCTGACTCGAGCAGTTAAAAGGTTAGTTGCGTCGTTCTACTGTGTTCGTAAATTGTTGCTTCAGTAATATAAATTTCTGTAACCTATGGTGCCATTTCAATGGTTTGGAATGAATTCAGTCCGTATTCCATAGTTGTGGATTTTAAGCTGTACGATAGACATGGCCAATAAGACACATTTTTTTAAGGGTACCTAGTTGACCATGTTCTTAGTGCACTTGTATTCATGGCGAGGCGCACACTACGTCTGGAGGTGACAGGTTCAATTCCCAGCACGGTAACTATAGCTTTCGATTTTTATGTTGTCTAGTGTGTTCTTCTATCTTTCTACTTCTTTCTATGAGTGCCGATCAATACAATTTCTGTTGCTTGATTAATTCGTATCCTTCACTGGACGTTGCAGTACCAACCCCAACAGCCCCTGGCTGTTGTGTGGTTTTTCCAGGCAAATTTACGTCCAGTAGTTTGCCCTTGCTTTCTGGACGGCAGGCTTTCTTGATACCACTGTCGAAACCAAACCAAGGCCCATGGCCCGCAGCTGGGATCGAACCCGGCATCCCGGCATTACGAAGCGTTCGCATCGACTTAGCTACAGGGCCGAAGACTCAAGCAGTACAGATAATAAATTGTGCTGCTCATTTCCAATTTAATACTTATTAACGACGTGAATCGCCAGCTACCTGATTACAATGAGAGCGAATATATTAGCTCTCAATGACTAGCGACAAACTGATGGTTAACTAACTCTTGATAAAGTAGCTTTACGTGTTTCCATGAATGTATATAGCGGCGTCCGTGGTTTAGGCGTTGCAAGTTCGACTCGTAATTCCAACGTACGGCGATCAAAACCCACTGCTGGCTGCATAGATTTTTATCTTGATATGAGGCTTTGCAGGTCGACCCAGACTAAAATGGTTACTATGATGGCTGTCCTGGGCAAGTAAAGACAGCTGGCGTAATGCTGATCACATTAACAATCTAGTGCCGATTGGTCTGTGAATACATGGGATGCTCTTCCCATATGCCAAATCTTTGCTTTTACTAGACTTTTATTAGAAGGGCTAGGATACGATAGGGAGAAAGACTTGCCCTCTTTCAATCACAAACGTTTTGCAGAACTGGCACCTTAAAAATCAGAGCTATGTATGATAAGTGGCATGTCATTTGCTTGTGATTTGTTTGAGGACCTTCATTGGAAGTCGCAAGACGAAAGAAAAAGTGACAAATTCAGCTGAACTGACGTTCAACCCCCCCCGCCCCCCCCCCCCCCCCCCCCCCCCCCCCCCCCCCCCCCCCCCCCCCCCCCCCCCCCCCCCCCCCCCCCCCCCCCCCCCCCCCCCCCCCCCCCCCCCCCCCCCCCCCCCCCCCCCCCCCCCCCCCCCCCCCCCCCCCCCCCCCCCCCCCCCCCCCGCCCCCCCCCCCCCCCCACCCCCCCCCCCCCCCCCCCCCCCCCCCCCTCCCCCCCCCCCCCCCCCCCCCCCCCCCCCCCCCCCCCCCCCCCCCCCCCCCCCCCCCCCCCCCCCCCACTTCACACCGATCGAAAAATACCCGATGATACAAAATTCCACCATTCGGATGATGATCAGCCGTGACAAGTTTTAGAAACCCCATTCAACCCATCTATAGGTTGCGTCATATTAGGGCCCCAGGCAACAGAGGAGGCAGTGTTTTAAAACAACAACACAATTGCCTCTGACATTAGTATGCATTGATTGTTGCACAGATCATCAGTTCAGCTAACGCCAGAAAATATACTGCAAATGTTTAAATTGTGATGAAAATATGGTTAAGAATTTATGAATAAATGGCGTTGCAATAATCGACACTCAAAGAAAGAATAAAAGAAAAAACTGTTTAGACAAAATAAAAAATTGTTTATGAAGACTGTCATCTCTTGTCGTGTCACGTGAGATTATTTATCCAGAGCACTGGCATGGCGTTACTGATCATGTGACACCTACATTCCAGAGTTGTGGGATATTCAGAACTATCTGGGAAATAGCTGTGGTAGTTTTCGATTCTATATTATAAATAAAAGAATCTTATAACCAATTCTTGCATCCACCGAAGACACAAAGAGCAGGCGATGGAATGTGAGAAGCAACAAGGAAATTCACAACCTCTTTAAATCACCAGATCATTGGCCTCATGACATAATAGACTGAAATGGCTCGGACACGTAAAGAGAGTGGCAGACGACAAAGAGACACAAACTGTGTGCACAAGAGAATTCAATGGGAGCAGTCTAGGGGCAGATAAAAAAGACAGAGGAGAGGTGATATCTAGGCTGATAGGCAAATACATAGAGATTATTAGATACCACTTCCCGTCCTTTTTAGGACGAAATTTTTCGTTATTTGAAGCCCTACTCTGGCTTTACCAGGGGCCGCAATATAGCCTGGCCATAAATATGACCCAAAGGCTTAACGTGGTTTTTGAGACCTTTCCACGGTGATCCTCACCCACATGGTGGCACTTCGTGTCATCGGGTGTTTATCGCTTAAGTGATGTCCTGGTGGGGTAGAAAGTCAGTCAGTACATAGAAATGAATGAAGGTGGGCGATATCTACATCGGTGAACCTCAATGGAATGGAATGCTGAAAAAAGTAAGTGTTCTCTCGACATAAGTCAGTCTCCCCTTCTTTGAACACCATTTACATCGATGTGGTTCTCAGGCACAGTGATTTACAATGCTGATGGTATAAACACTGCACATCTGTGTACCTTTCCAATACATATTCACTAGTTTCACTATAGGCTGACTCCAATAGAATCATCTGATGCCTAGACAGAAATAGTTTGCCATTTGGACTAGTAGAACTTAAATGTTGCCCCAAAAGAGCGACGGCTGTAGGAAGTGAAATGTGGAATCCTTTCAGTTACTAAATTGTAACAAAATGAAATGTCCGTGATAGACTTCCATTACTTCCTTCTCAGATAATGTATACGGTCTGAAATGTGTATGGACCTCAGTTTAAAAGGTACGGCCAGGAAAACAACAAATGACTGCCAAGCACTGAACTCACTTCTCCCTGTTAATAATCTTGGCACTAACCTCTAACAAGGGATGGATTTAGGTATGAGTTAAACAAGCTACACCTTAGGCCCTTGTAATCCACAGGGGCCTCAACAATTTCCCCCCCCCCCCCCCCCCGACAATTTTCTTTTAACATTGATTTTTAGAGGATTATATAATATAATTTATGTCTTTATTACTTCTTTTACTAACATTTAAACGACATCATCCACATATTTAAAAGGTATATATATTTTAGTTTTTTTTTAGATTAAATGGTGTAATTTAAAACAGTAAGATCTTTAGGGCTTTATATAGCTCAAGGCCTCGTCAGATCACAGTGACTAACACATATTTTCTAGATGAATTCCATTAGATTTAAGCGCCATTGTGTAAATTCCAGGAAATTCTAAAGCCAGTATGTGAAACATTGCTGCAGCAAGCAGCCAGACCGTTCAATTTCATGTTTGTACTTTCTACAATGAGTACACTATAAAGCACCGATAATAACAG